GTGACTGACGTGAAAGCATGCCTGTACGTGTTTTTTTTCTTACTGACTCTGACTGCTACACACGGTATTATTTTGCAACATGGATAATCTGCCGACTCTGCGTCACAAAAAGATTTAAAATCTTGAAGTTCGGCTTACAGAGGTTCTACTGTTAAAGTTCTAATAAAGAATATTTATTATATTACTTAATTTTTAAATTGTATCTGAATATAATTTACATGACGAAGATAAGGTGATTTTATTAAAATTATTTTACAGTATTAAATTTTACAATTAATCATAAAAACTTACAATACACTGACATTATAATACATGGAAATAAATTCGATTTGTATTACATCGTGTGTAGATTAAATCTCAAACAAATAAATCTGAAGATATCGAGTTAGTACATCGTGTCATGTATAGCATCAGGAGGGCCAAGCTTACGGCGGTTTAACTATAGTGCAAATTTATGTTATATCAACTCGCTCTCGACGGCGACCGCGTTTGGCGCTGCGATTGGTGAAGACTTCAGTGCAGGCCAATCACAACGCGGTCACCGTGACAATCCAGTAGATATTAAATAGACTCACACTTGGCCCTCTGTTTAGTAACATTTAAAAACCAAGCGAGCTTTATAGTCGTCGCATATGATGTGCAATATTAAACACCACATTTCGCCTTGATATTAAGGCAGGGTGATGATGCAGGTATTATTTCAAAAGACTTTTCGTAATAAAAATGTTTCTTTTTAACGAAAATTGTAAACAAGAGGAAAAAATAACATACTTTTGAGCACAACGTAATAATTCTGGCACCAAGAAGTGCTTTTACTGTTTTAAATTTGACGATGTAATTTAAAGTACCTAAAACACCAAAATTGTAACTAAACCAAATTTGTAACCAAAAAAAATTGTAACAAAACCACAATGTGTTTTATGTGTATATACACACATGTATTGAGAATTAGTTTAATGTAAAAACGATTCAAAAAATCGTAATTTTGTTACCAAAATTATGTTTTTTTAATTCTCTTGCGCTAATTGCGTGACGCTATTCTACTCCGGCTGAGGGCCAGCGCAGACCAAGAGGAGCGCAGCGGAGAGGATTTTTTTTTAAACCACATTCGCACAACGCCATCTAGACCCAAACTAAGCAGAGCTTGTACTATGGCTGCTAGACAACTGATATAAATGCATATATACTTTTTTTGTAAATACATACTTATTAACATAGAAACACCCAGACCAAATCAAACATTAAATGTTCATGCACACAAATGTTTGACTTGAGCGGGCATCGAACCCGCGACCTTTGGAATAGCAGTCCGTTACACAAACCACTACGCCATTCAGTCGTCAACTAACGTCGTAAACTTTGAAACTATTGATCTAAAGCTTACACATGTTTAAACAAGTATAAACTTTAATTAAAAATTTCTCAATACTTTTAAAGTTTATTTCAGAGTGTCTTGAAAAAATCCTCGCCGCTCTTATTGGTCTGCGCTGGACCTTTTTTTTTCCGTGCGGAAATCCCCTCGGATACCACCTATGGTCTGCGCTGGCCCTGACTGTTACATATTCCCGTCCCTTCTCACGAAACCACTCTTACAGATTGCTGGGAAAGCGTTTAAATATTTTTTTTGTTCCAGCTTATTCTGTAAATTGTTGCACTACCCTGTCTATTGTTCATGATAATCTTGATACAAATTCTGATCTGTGTCGTACTCGGTAAGGTTCACTGAACGATACACAAAGGACCTATATATATTAATGCTACTTATTCATAAATGGCACATGTACATGTTGCTAGCGTTTAATTCCTAATTTACACCTTCGCTACAGTTGTGGAAGGTCGTTATTTGTACACGAACACTTTGAATGAACAATCTTGCTTTTAAAAGAAGCCGTGGACTACGTCTAAAATTTTTTACAAGCAATAGTACATGTTTTAGGAAATAAATTGTCAGTATTGAGATTTCACAGCAAGTATTGGTTTTATTTATTATTGATTTGAGAATTGGTCTATCACGTTTTTTCACGTTATATGTTAGATGTACTCGCCATTGAGTGCAAAGGTTTTTTTTAAGCAGTTCGTTGTATTTTGTATTAAATAATAATATTTTCGGACATCTAACACATAACGATATCTATTTTCAAGCTAAGCAGTTTGTACTATGGAAGCTAAATTGACTGAAAGAATACTTATATAATATTTTGTAAATACATGCATATTAAATATATAGAAAACACTTAAATTACCAAGATATATTTTTTTTTATTTAAAAGACAACTCCCGCACTGGGATTGAATCCTGTATCGCGGGGGACTTTACAAACATACATGAAACGGACACAAAGAACACCCAGACTCAGAACAACAATTTGTGGATCACACAAAGTGTTGTCCCAAAAGGGAAATCGAACCCACAATACTCAGCGCAGTAAGAAGCGGTGAGGTGACCGCTTAAACTAAACTAAACAGTCAATAAACTCAAATAAAGATACATCATGTGAGTTAATAGTTTTCTTTGATATGTCAGCGACACGAAACATTTCAAGAAAGTAATACAATACTCCTTTTACAATCTTTCTAAATCTGGGCGCAAGACAACAATGAAATTAAATTGGCATATTATTATCTTCATACTTTTAGAAGTGATTGAAGTTCCAGAACTGCATGAATACAGTCCTACATGATCAGGAAACAATACAATCACTTGGATAGTTGGCGCTCCACTACTGTACGCTTTTCGAGACACTTTTTGCCTCGCCACAATCTGTAGAACGGGTTACCGCCTGCGGTATTACCGGACCGATACGACCTTCAAACCACCAAGAAAAGAGGGCACCGTACGTACCCTCTTTTACTGAGTTGCAGACTTTCATGGGCTGCGATGGTCACTTTCCATCAGGTGACCCGTCTGCTCGTCTGCCCCTTCTAACATAAAAAAAACAGTAATACGTGAGAATCTAAGAAGAATCTACTTTATGATTAAATATCTAGGGTACTTGTACTTACGCACTCAGATTAACTCACATCGATTTTCCTAGTTTACATACATTTTAACCAGGGCCTTAATTCTGCTATTTTATGTTAACGTACAAGCCACTGTCATTCCACTAACACGCTATTGAGATGCCATTGAGACGCCATTTACATCTGTCAAAATATCGATATTCTACTCAGTGTCAATAGACTGTCGATATAGTAATAAAGGACATCAATAGTGATATCAACAACATTGCCATATTTGGAAAATTAAATATATGAATACCTCATAAATTAAAAATACACGGTTTACCAAACTATTACAAAGACATCGACGACATTTTTGTCAGTGGCAGTTCAGTGACTTGACATCGGGATGCAATTTTGGTCTTACATAGTTAGTAGAATACGAAGGTGTGTGAATGAATGTAAAACTGTTCCGACGACATTCCGTAGACAGTCTATTGATACAATATTAAAACAGCAGAATTGGGGTCCAGTTCGATTTTCAATAACTTTTTTGTTATTGTTTTATTCCATTGCAAAAGCATCATCAGTTTTGTCTTATAGTTTTATGAATTTCTAATTTGATAAGGGTATTGTTCAAACCCCAGGTCAGAACAGTACATTAAAACTAAACTGTATTTACTAAGGTAGGTACAGCATTTACTTTTATTTACATAAAGGTTTAAATGAGAAAACGTATTTTTTTTAAAACAAGCGCTAGCTGGCACTACATAGGGCATGAAATAAGTTTTTAAACATTATTTTTATATTTTGGCAGTAGGCATCTCCTTGTGTTTATTCACTTTCATTGACATTGTTTAATATTTATTTACAATTTATCATACACCAGTACAATCACTTGACGCACGATAAATATTATAGCTTTAAAGAGATAAAATATTATATATTTCCTTTATAAGTGAATATACGAAATATTTTTTCATGTCACAACCCTATTTTAAACTCGTGAAACGCAGCTCTATAAACTAAGAACACGAGTTTTAGTAACGTGTAAATAATAATAACCGGTTCTAGAAATACTTCAAGTACGATAAAATATATTTAAAAAAATACTAAACTAAAATGCTAGTGTCATTTAAATATTGTATTGAAATGTTTATAAAAGAAATGATAAAATAAAATAACATAATATAAAATAACCATTTATTGATGAATAAAATTCAAAACAAAACTATAAAATATGTAGAAATAATTTACAACATAAGTTATAAACTTACAAAAAGTAAAATCACAACAGTTTATCGAGTACTTTAAAATATTAATATATATATAAGTAAGTCTATTAAGTATACAACGGTATAATATCTTATTAATTTTAATAATGAATACTGTTAATAAAATCTAGATTAATATCAAGCCCTAAAACAATTTCAATAGAGTTTAAACCACAAAATAAAATTTACATATACTTTCATTAATAACAATAATAGTTGATAATAATCATCAGTTATTATTAACAGTATTTAAATTTATCAATTAAAATCACGTAAAATCAACATTTGTTCTTAATGTACTAAGTTATTAAAATTAATTTAATATTCAAAAAGGTTTTCTCGACATAGATTAAAAATTATAATGCCATAGATTTAGAACGACAGCGGTAACCAGAAACTGGATTTAAGGCAAGTTTCAGGGCAAGAGTTGAATTTGAGTTGGCTCTATACCTGGTCTCACTTTAAATGGAATATATTCCAGAAGAATTATGAGTTATCTTAAGTAACGTGAGGTACACGGTTGAAATAAAAACGAGTCGTTTTTTTCATACCTTTGACGTTCTTTTATACCGAATATGATTGCTGGCGGACTTTTTTCGTTTCTTTGACTGCAGATAATTTGTGTATTGTATACCTGATGTTAAATGAATTCCGTTGAGGAAGTAATGCCGATATATAGTGATTGATGTTTGCCTTAAACTCAGTTTCGATTGCTGTTTTGATATAACCTCTCTCTAAGAATTATTATTTAAGTCTATTTCAACAAAATTATGTTCTTACGTACAAATCACACGTCGTAGACATCTCTGGGACTTATTACGGTTTTCCTGGAACAATTAAACGTTTATTATTAGTATACATATTGTAAGAAACAGCGTGAGGGGTCTATGGACCCCCGGTCAGAACGAAGTTCCTTGGTAGACGTTTACTGTACAGTCATTATAGTTTATATTAGTGTCGGGAAAAGCTTGTTACACAATTTTTGGTCTCGCTCCCATCCGCTGGGAGGGTGTAACGCGCAATATAGTACTTAGTTCCAATAACAGGAAGAAGAAGGAATCCTCCGAGCCTTGAGAAATCAAAATAGGTTGGAGTCGGCTTTTAGTCTCGACTCGTTAATTTCGATTTTTTACGAGAGGCGACTACGTCAGACCTCCACAAGCTACTAAGCGTTATCGAAGTTCTGTAGAAACTGTTGTGGAAATTTTTAGGGCTCCTACCATTAATAACGTTTGCCACAGGTGTTTGCATGGCGCCCGACGGCTTAACGTACTCCCTGAGGAACACCCCCTCCGTTAATGTATTAAGAATAGTCACCCATCCATAGGAATAAGAAGGAACGCTAATCTCAGTAACTACTGGTTCGAATTAAAAAAGTATTTTAGTGACGGATAGCCCATTTATTGAGGAAGGCTATATAACATTACACCATGACTAATACAAGCCCAGCATTAATGAAAAAGGATGTAAAAACGGAAAAATTATGCCTTTTGAAAGACGCGAACAAAGCTGCACGGATCAGCTAGTAGGTAAGTTATAATCGTGTAAACATGTTCAAAATCAAACCTTAATCAAATAAAATATATATGTATAATAGTAAATGCAAGTTTAGTTTAGCATTTTTTATAAAAATATATATTTTTGATCTGTGATTACAATTGTTACCTCAGTTCACCTACCTTACAAGATTTCTACATCGTCCAAAGGCAGTGTATTTATTCCGCCCATGTACATAAGTGCATAAATTTAAATAAAAAATAAATTAACTAAATAACACAAATAGTTCCTTTTTTTACAAGTTTTTTTTATTTATTTTTTAACCCAAGACATCCCACACATGGTCGTCTGATTCCAAGCTAGGCAGTGCATAAGTTATGGTAATCAGACTGCCGATAAATGTACCAATGTAATTTTAAATACATACATATTACAGGTAAATTACACTCAGACACGGAACAAATGATACAATATTTGTCCTGAGTGGGAATCGAACCCATTACCTCCGGCTTAACAGTCAGGGTTACTGACCACTAGACCAACAGGTCAGTCAATATAAGAATAATAATATTTTCGGACATCTGACACATAACGCCATCTAGTTTCAAACCAAGAAGAGTTTGTACTATGAAAGCTAAATCGACTGATAGAATACTTTATATTTCTTTTAATATATTATATTATTCATAGAAACGTGTGCGTGTGCTAAACTTACCTATCATGTGGAACTATCACGTCTTCGTCTGAATCCAAATCAAAAAGATCATCTCGAATATAACTCTTGTTAGCGTAGCCTCCCAAATCCACTGAAACATTGTAATAAGTAACTTAATAATAATAATATTATGCCACATTCACACAACGCCATCTAGTCCCAAACTAAGCAGAGCTTGTACTATGGCTACTAGACAACTGATATAAATACATACATATACTTTTTTATAGAAACACCCAGACCAAATCAAAAATTAAATGTTCGTGCACACAAATGTTTGACTTGAGCGGGAATTGAACCCGCGACCTTTGGAATAGCATTCCGTTACACAAACCACTACGCCATTCAGCCGCTCGTCTTTATTATAAAAAATGTATACATAAAGTTAAAATTAGGATTGCTTTTCACCAAGTGAGACAGGTAACCCGGAAGATCAACTCAACCCCCAGCAATTCTGAGGGGGGACGGGCTCGGACGAGCTTACTAGAAGGTTGACAAAGCAACTGCAATTAAAGAGACACAAGTCTGCGTCCATAGGTCACCCGTCTGCTCGTTTGCTCCCACTACCATGAAAAATATTTTGAACAAATATTTGCAGACCATTTGGTCCGACCCGGGAATCGAACCCAAGACCTCAGCCCAGCAGTCGCATACACTACCACTGCACCACCGCGGCATTAAAGTCTTTGCAACCACGTCTTTTATGAAATCAAAGTTGCTTGTAAACATCAACAATAAGGTGAATGACGAAGAAGAAACCAGCATTTAATAACATCACAACCCTCTCCCCCCTCCAAAGTAACGGAAGAGTACTCTATAGACCTATAGGTTGATGCTTGCCTCTGGTAGAATCTTCATATTTTTCATCAGCCCATTTGTAGTCACTCTCCGTGTACAGAGGTGGCAGCGTCTGGTGAGGAGTGGGAAACAAATCAAGATTTCTCTTCTCGTTCTGGATACTGTCAGAATCACTGAAAGACTTCATTCTGAAACAACAAAGAAAAAGATGCTCATACAACGGGCTACTTAAAGTGTCGTACGACATGGCTGTGTCAGCTCAAAAAGATCTCAGGAAAATGCACCATTATTTTCTAATTCTCTTATTATATCAGCTGTTGCTCGGGGCTTCGTTCATGTAATTGTTTTTAATTTAGAAAATGACGCAATAGAATTATTATTAATGCGCAATTTATTTAACAATTTAATTGCTTTATTGAAGTGAAAACTTCTTGAGGCGCGTTTGGCATTTTTAAACAACAAACAAAATAATGTATTTTTTGAGATGGGAAAAACTATTGAACTTACGTTACCGACACCTCTGTATGTAAGTATGTTGGCCCCGTTTACACGAGAGTTGAGTTTGGGTTGAAATACATTGATAATATAACTATATATAATATAAACATACATATATTATGTATATACGTACAACATAGGTATATATTCATGTGGGAACTTTTCTAATGAAAAAACTTTTCAAAAAGGTTCAAGTTTTCACTTCAGGCGGCACTCCCGGAGTGAAACTGTTTTTTTTTGGTGGATTTATAATCTATCGAAGTCAAACCATCTAATGATAATTTTGTTAATGATGGATCCTCCTTCTCTGAGACATAAAATTTATATAATTCCACGAAGAAATCTGGGTGAACGTAAAAAAATAAACACAAAGGTTACCTTCTAACATAATCTACCTTGCTACCTATTGCGAACTAGATAAAAATCTAACGGTATTTACAATTTTACGATAAAATATAATACTTTGAAGAGAAAATTGACGACGTGCAATAAAATCCTAATATAATTCACAATACACACCTAAAAATAGTCTGTGTGGTGACGGATTAAGAATACGGAACGTCAATACCCCTATTCATCCCGTGGGTGTCGTAAGAGCCGACTAAGGGAGAAAACTACGCAGGACAAAAGCACTGCGAAGAGAAGTAAAACTTGAAACAAACCCTATACCAACCCGTCCCCCTCCTTCCCGTCCAGCAGTGGACAATTATAGGCTGTTGATGTGTGATGTGTGTGACCTACAAATTGTACCCTACAATGCATTCCTAAATTGTAAAATTAAAACGGAGTTATTTTAAGCAATTGGCCAACAGATTAATAGCTTTTGCATCCATTAAGAATCCTTCTTTCGCGATTCTGGGTGTCTTTGTTACGTTGATAAGTAATCTATACTAATATTATAAAGCTGAAGAGTTTGTTTGTTTGTTTGAACGCGCTAATCTCAGGAACTACTGGTCCGATTTGAAAAATTCTTTCAGTGTTAGATAGCCCATTTATCGAGGAAGGCTATAGGCTATATATCATCACGCTAAGACCAATAGGAGCGGAGCACCAATGAAGAATGTTTCAAAAACGGAGACAATTTATTACTATTGAGAGATGCAGACGAAGTTGCGCGGGTCAGCTAGTGAGGAATAAAACGGACGCGAAAAATAGAAAACTCTCTCAGGAGGTTTGTATGTCGTGACAAAATTTGATCTCAAATGATGCACAACCTTTTAAGTTTTTAAACAAACCAACTGAACATCTTATATATATATAAAATTCTCGTGTCACAATGTTCGTTCCCGTACTCCTCCGAAACGGCTTGACCGATTCTCATGAAATTTTGTGTGCACATCGGGTAGGTCTGAGAATCGGCCAACATCTATTTTTCATACCCCTAAATGGTAAGGGTGACCCATCCCTAAATTTTTTGTTTTGCAATACAACGTTTCCCGGTCCGTTTTTATATATAAATACTTAGGACATATAAGTAATCCAAGTATAGATAATCATAATCTAAGTAATGGTGATGTCGGTTTACGTTATAATTCGTAGTTCGTAGTTTTAAATTCTAATTCGTAGATGTTCAAAAAGTCTCATCTATTTTTATAATTAATTATACAAACCTGGTGTAGTCTACGAAGCAACTGAAGCGCCACAGAGCGACGGCCAGCAGACACATGGCAATCACCACACCAAACGCAATGACCAGCCATACGGTGAGGATTGAGCTGTCATCCGGAACAACGTACTCCTGGAATCAAACACGGTAAAGTTTAGAAAGAAAATCTGGTACTAAAATATCTAAAAGATTTTCTATTAACCGACTTTAAAAAAGAAAGTTTTATATTCGCTTTTTTGTTTTAAGTTAGGAAAGGAAACGATTCGAAATTCTTGTTGGAAGGGGTAATACCTTAATCAAAAAAATAGTTGTTTTTAAATAATTGACTGTGCCGCATGTCCGTGTGGTGACGGATTAAGAATACAGAGTGTCACCACCCCTATTCATCCCGTGGGTGTCGTAAGAGCCGACTAAGGGAAAAACTACGCAGAACAACAGCACTGCAGAGAGAAGGAAAACTTGACACAAACCCTGTACCAACCTGTCTGGCCAGCGTGGTATAGTAGGCCAAAACCTCCTTTCTATGGAGAGGCTATGTCCAGCAGTGGACTGTTAAAGGCTATTGATTATAATGAGCCGCTTGTCAGTTTTCTGGTTCATATCTGTGCATACTAAGATCACAGTAGAGGAGCGAAGCCTCAGTAAAAGCACAAAAAGAAGACAAATCAAGTCCAAAGTGATATTTTTTGTATTTTTTATAGTCAATAGTCGACGGGCCTGTTGGTCTAGTGGTTAGTGACCCTGACTGCTAACCGGAGGTCGTGGGTTCGATTCCCACCCAGGACAAATATTGTGTGATGAGCACGGTCATTTGTTCTGTGTCTGGGTGTAATTTATCTATAATATGTATTTATTTAGAAATATATAAGTATGTTTATCAGCAGTCTGGTTACCATAGTACAGGCTCTGCCTAGTTTGGGATCAGATGGCCGTGTGTGAGATGTGTGAGATATAAAAAAAAATAGGAAGGAAGATGTCAAGTACTTACCGTAATTCGCAAGTCGCTCAATGTAGTAGCAAACGGTTCTTGAACAGAATATGTCCTCCACATGGTGTCAAGCTCCGTGGCATTGAGCCTTGGACCGGTGTCTTCTGTCGTATGAGGAAGAGGCACGGCAAAGCGCACGCGGACACAGGTCTCGTGGTTCGGCCAACGGATGTTGCAGAGGGCCGTCCTCGTGATATTCGCTTCCAACCTGAAGATTTTACATATGATTTAAGTTTTTTATGGTATAGAGCTCAAACAGATGGGTCACCTGATGGGACTACGGCCACCCATCGACATCTCCAATTCAAGAGTCAGAAGCGCGTTCAGTTCACGGATCAGTCGACCAGATCCCCTAACCTAACCGTTAGGGGATCTGGTCGACTAGGAGGGGTCCGGATATCTTAATACTAGCTGTTTGCGGATCCCTCCTTTTTCTGGCGCAGAGTGGTACACCGTGTGCTTTCAGTCGCCTATCGATTCCGACACACCGCTCTTTCCTCACGTGAAAATTAAGGTGATCCGGTCGTGTTGGCACAACTATGCTACCAATAACGGGAATGCGAGGTAATTTATTTCATAAACAGATATTTTTATGAGAAGTTTTCCACGACGAAGATTTTTTTTTCTTTGTGTATGGTAGTAATTTATCCATACTTATCTAAATATGTATTAGTATGTTGTTTATCAGCAGTCTGGTTATCATGGCTCAACTTTATATTCGAAGCTGACTTCTGACTCTCTGACTGTAAGATCTGATAAGTTAATAATAACGTCACACATCTCACACACGGCAGTTTGGTCCCAAACTAGGCAGAACCTGTACTACGTTAACCAATCTGCTGTTAAACATACTTATATATTTCTAAATACATACATATTATAGATAAAGTTAGTATAATATAATGATATACTTACTATATTTTTTTGTCTTAAAAATCTTCACAATATAATTACGTACGTACTTATTTGTATTATATTATATATACTAAATGAGACGGAATCCATCTATCATACATATTATAGAAGTTTACACTTAAATATTAATTCATCTACGATCTATCACTCTCTTCACCAATCAATGCCAGTCTTAATAACATTCCTAAATGGAATATGTCAGCATTTAGGCTTGAAATATCTACGCCAGTATCTATTCAAATTAAAATGCAAGAACAAAACCGTTGACTCCCAATCTCATACAAGCTTTTCTTCCGTAAACTTAACAGGTTGGCGTGTCATTTTAATAGAGTTATCTGTTGTAATATTAACTTTCACTGTATCATTGTTGTTGAAGTTATCTTTCTTAGTAACTATTCCGTTATCTTTCTTAACTTCATTGTTATTATCAACTTTAAGTTCTGGGAGATTTAAATCTGCTTTCTTAGTCGCTAACTTACTGTGTTCATTGTTAGTTATTTGTGGGTAATGGTGTAAAATAGCTGTCGTATTAAAAGTGATTTTACCATACTTTACGATTTCAGTTTGTCTTTTCGTTCTACTCGTGCTAGGTTCAGCTAAATCTACACATTTGCAGGTATCAGTAGGAGTATACTCTAGATTGTATATATCTTTAGTCTCTTCTATTAGACCTAGGGCTATTCTCTTACTTCTGTTTACATTATCCATATATGTATTGTATAAGTTCATATCTACTGTGTTGTTCTGTTTAAGTGGCAATGAATTTGGCAATCTTTGCGCTCTATCCTCGGCTGTGTATCAGAATTGTTTATGGTTTGCATTTTTAGCGGTTTCGTCGGGGGCGGCGCCGGCAGCGTGGTCGCGCACCCCATTTGTTAGCTATGTCTGAGACTGCACCATCGAGATACTGGTAGTCTCCGTAGCGATCGTAGGAGCGGGGAACTCGTCTGCGGTAAAATCGTAAATGGGGAACTCACAACACAGCACGCACTTTAAAAACTTCGGCACTTCAACATACATAGCTGGTGGGACTGGTATCAAAGGAGATGTAGAAGCTTTGTAGTATAAATAGTCAGGATTATCTCTATATTTCTCGTCTGCTGTTCTTTCTAGGATAGGTATACCAGACAAGAATAATATTATTGATGTGGTGAATAAAGGAGACAGTATAGCGACCCACTCGACCCCACTGATCACGTTCAAGGATATAATGAAAATACCCCACCATAATACGACTTCACCGAAGTAGTTCGGATGTCGTGATAAGCCCCACAAGCCGTCATTGCACCAGCGACCTTGGTTTTCAGGTTCTTGTCTGAAAGCAAACTTCTGCAGATCTGCGTAGGTTTCTATCAACAGTCCTATGACGAAGATTCCTGCTCCTGCTGAATCTAACGTCGTCATCGTCTTTGGAGATTTCGGGAACGAATGATGAGGTGAATTTATTATAATTACTGGTAAGCTAACTACATATACCCAGATGGCTTGGAATGTGTAGAAAACAGCGAATCTTAGGGTATTGCTCTTTCTGTCTTCAAATAATTTATCTCTCCCTATGTGGTAGATCCTGTATAACAAGTACCCGGAAAGACGAACGCCCCAAAGACACACGAAGGCTGTCACCATAAGTTGTCTGGAGTCGTAACTTTTGAGAGTAGACCCTCCTTGGCCGAGGAAGAAAGTGAGTAGAGCTATGATGATAAAGTTTGCACCGCCTGTGAAATCTGTCACCTTGTCGTTTTGGAACAGCGCGGCTATTGTGAAGAACAGTATCTGCATGCCGACTGTCACCATCGCGCTTATGGCGAAGTTGTTTCTGTCTATCAGAGGTTCCATTGCGGTTATATTTGACACTAATTGCTGTATTTGGCATCAGGGAAGGTTGGAATCGATCTGTTGACGCATTGCTGCATTTTCTAACATCACACTTATTTTTATCGCGTAACAGTATAGTTTCTTTTTCACATAATTATTGGATACTTTTTACTTATTATTGTATTTATTTACTATTTAAAAGTTATAATGTGTATATAATTTGGCTTTTTTCGTTCTATGCGGTTTTGTAAGCTCCTCGCGTAAGCCTGTACTGAAATAGACTTTGACGTTTTGTTCGCGCATGCGTAAAGCTTATTACAGTGTACGCATGCGCGCAACCTTGAAACACAGAATTCTGAATATATTTCGCCTCGGTTTGTGGAGAATTTGTTTTGTTAGATGCAGTTTCTTAAATGTGTATATTGTTGGTCGGTATTCGAGTCGCTCCGGCGCCAAATGTGTCACATAAAAATAGACATATTTTTCTATTTAGTGTATGAATTGCTGTGTTTGACATACAGAAGGAATTTCTATGTCATACAATAACATACTGACTTTTCAAACAACTATACCACATACTCTTACTGTAGTCTGTCGCTAACGCTCTAGGTTTAATATAAATAACTGAATTTGTGTTTAAAATAGTATTTCTACTAACATTGTAACTAGGTCGAAGCGGATTTTGGTTCGAATTGGTATCGCCTATCTTGAGTAGATACCTCGGTATTCAACTAGGTAATACTGTGTCGCCTAAAGGCAAGTGATTACCGCTGCCAATTGACAGTTGCAACTTAAAAGACCAACCTATTAACCTCCCCTCCCCTCTCCTAAATCAGGCGGGCCCTCCCCCGGTCCGCTCGGTGAAAAGCAACGAAAGAACTGCTTAACAACAGTTTTCTGTGAGGCCTTGGTTTCCTCCTCCATCGAGCCTGTCCAAAATCTGCCAAAGCATGGCTATCCAACCAATGTAAAGTATTTTAGCGGTGGTACTACGGCCATCTAGTAAGGTACCAACCTCATCTAGGGTTAGGTAGGGTAGGGTAAACAACCCTGCCAAATAATAAAGAGCGACTAAATAAAAAAGAGTGTCGGAAAAAAGTCTTGTTACACATTTTCGGTCTCGCTCCCATCCACTCAGTGCGTGTAACGCGCGAAAAGGAACTTTGTTCCAATAAATGACTATGAGTTATATTACGTTCCTGGTAAGGTTGCGATTTCAATAATAACGAAATAATGTTTTGTCTGTAATTGAAAATGTATGTTTTGATAAGATTGTTTTAATGGTTTTTAATGTGTATTATGTGTTTTCGTGACAGCATCAGGGTGGCTGGCGTTTAATTTTCTTTTAACCTAGATTTTTTGATAAAACTGTATAGTGTAGGCTCGTAATGTTAGTTCATATTTAGTAACTTTCTCGTGGATTTGAGTGATTCCTCGGCTTTCCAAATGTCCTGCTGGCTGTAGTATCGCGGTTCGGATCGTTGATCTTGACTAATATCAGTTAGGCTCCACGATGGCTAGGGCTCGCATGCCATCTGTATGGACAGGCCGACTCAAAACTATGGTCTTTTCTTGAAAAGGCCTACCCAGACTACACTGTAACCGCACAGTTTTCTTTAACTTTGTTTACGGACTAAAAAAAGACACCCTGTGGTTTGTTTCGACGTTTCTTGTTAGAGTGAGTCTTAGGAAATGCCGGCTCCATCTAGCTGTAAAGTCCGACTTGTAAAAATATCTGAAAAAGATTTATTTCCATTGCATAGGTTTTCTGAAGGTTTGATGAAAGCTGTCGGGACAGGATGTTTAGCTGCCTACATTTGCTCTCAGGCTCGTTGTGGAGGATCAATGGAAAGCTAAATTATCATCAAGTAACACGCTACTTTTAACCGCGATAATCGACATACATGCGGGCGGAGCCGGGGACAAAAGCTAGTAAAGAAGCTTGTATTCGTCATTACTCAACTTCCACCTTATGGCTGAATTTTTTTCTACAAAATTTGAATTGGACTACATGAAAAATATAACCTTTAATGTGAAAAACGTATTTTCCAAATGGATTCATAAATGACGCAGTTCTAAGGAAAAATTCGACCGCATTGAAAACCTTTTTTGTTCTGAATTTATTAAAAAGAAAATCGATTACACAATGTTGCCAACCTTTCTGTGAAATACTCGCAACACTTTTTAGGAAATATTATCTCCAAATACGTACGTATGACATGAAAGTCTTAAATATGAGGAAATAAATTACCAATTATCAAAGATAAGATACAATGTTATCTTATTACATTATTAAAATAACATTAAATTGATAGTGGATTCTTTGAAATCTACAGCAATACGAATAGCGAATATGCAGCAATTAGTGAAGTTGTCGTTTTATTGTGAGTCCCGGCATCCAGACTGCTCCCGATATTCTTCAGAAACGAAATTACCACTGCTGTTTTTGTCTGACGGAGTATGGGCATCTGATACAAAGATTTCGTCAGAGTTAGAGAGTTAGAGAGTCATGCTTCTGAACATGTATGGGTTGGCTCGATCAGAGGTGTTAACTAGTCTTTGCTTATGTTTTACATCCGTCTCGATAGATGGCGTTGTTGCATAAACCTAGATCGCAATATTAAGATTCTTCGAGACGATATAACATTGTGTAACTTTTTTATTAAATTTATCTCGTCCTGAGCAAGTGTGTTTTGCTTCAAATACCTTGACGGCCCTGGGGACTTTTTGGAAGATTGTACAAGAGGAAAGCTCCACCTCATAAGAAACCCGTGTTAGTAAAATTATTTGAGACCAAGCTTTCCTCCCTCTAAATCCAATTGTGGGCAATCAGGGGGCAGCATGGCGCTTGTGTCTTTAGAATTGCAGATGTGCATGGATGGTACGAGTCACTTTAAGATATTACTACGTTTTCAGACTACGAAACGTTACTTTACAGGACGAAACGAATTTTTAGTGATTTTAAGTTTAGTTTAGAGAGTTTTCGAACACCAAAATTAGCACCATTGCGTACTAAAAACTCACATTTTGCGAACTAGTTTGGTTCTACTACTAGAAGCGCTTTGGGAATTAAAGATAGGAAAATGAAAATTATACCCGCAAGACAATTAATTAATTTATTAATTAAATTTCAAGGTAAATTTTCAAACCCCGGTGGTAGCCATTTGTACATTTTCATTAACTTGGAATACTATTGTATGTATAATATACTGAATTGGTGTACAATAAAGATTATTCTATTCTATTCTAGTGAGCAGCGACCGTGAAGGTTGCTAATTACCAATGTAAGTTTGGTATTATGAGCGCAAAAATGCAACTACTGATCTCGAATATACATGTAGCATCGCTATGTAATTCAGCTTGTCTCCGCTAGATGGCGTTAAACTACTTTTTTTCTATGATGATGTATATGAGATGTCAATAAAATATCTAATAAAAAAAACTCACGTAGTGTTATATCCCAAGTCAATGTAGTTGTCCTCTATGTATGCCTGCGCCATGGCTTCAATAAGCTGTTTGAACTGCGACCTGACTTCGAGGAATTGCAGAATTGGCAAGCCAGCCAAGTTGATTTCTGTAGTTTCCACAGCTTGTGTCACTACTTGTTCAGGTTCTGGAAGCTCCTCGTCTTCTCCTAGTGGTGGAGGTGGAACTGGAAATGTAAAGTAGAATAAAGTAAAAAATTATATAATTTACAGTTATTCATGTGTTACATCTTTCCGTTCGCTTCCTACAATTTGTGCGAGTGGTTTCTTTAAAAGGGGCGGTAGCGTTTAACAAAAAGCGGGCAAACGAGCGCTATTTGATTACATTTCATCATATGGTAGATAGTTTTACTCTTTCTATTGTATTCTTCATGATTATATTCTAGTAGTTTAACCTTGGTCTGTATCATGATGCATTTTTAAACTGATTTAGGAATAAGTTACATCGATTTATCAGTCGGCTGTTGTGACTACCTCGTTACTGCAGTAACGTAGATGTTTCACATCAACAGCCTTTAATAGTCCACCGCTGGACATAAGCCTCTCCTTAGAAAGGATTTTTTGGCCTACTATACCACGCTGACCAGACGGGTTGGTATACAGTTTGTGTCAAGTTTTCCTTATCTCGTAGATGTTTGCACTCGATTATTCGCGAGTAAACAGCTCCACTACAGAGAAAGTTAGAGATAGTCGTGACAGTATTCTGAGAACTGTTTCCGAGAACTTCTCCAAAATTATGAGAAAATCTAAAAGTACGTTAATTATTTATTACTAACCCTAGAACATAAGTTTTAATATTACTAACATACTATGGAACAAAGGTGTCTACTATGAAAAGAAACAGACTCAGAACAATAATTTGAGGATTACACAAAGTGTGGGGATCGAACCCTCAACACTCGGCCAGTAGGAAGCAGCGAAGTGTCCAGTTAAAGCACTATCTCATCCGTACAGTCGAGGCAGTGTTTCAAGTATTCTTTACACACCTATCTAAGAAAAACCTTTCTTTCTTAATCGTCATCTTGAAGGGTCCAGGGCTGTTGCCGCTGTTGATAAAATAAATAAACATATTTTAATACTTACAGATCATCTTGGCGCTAAAGGAGAATCCATTGAAATTGAAGAAATTAGAAGTGTGAGTTTGAAACCTAACGAACATGCGGTTTACGTTCATGAATCTGTATCTTCGCTCAGAGGTGAGCTGGAAGGAGAATATTAAACCATCAGATCCTTCTGCGTCTATCCGACCTGTAAATATTTACAAAAGATTAAGGTTGGGAAATATTATCCAGTGTTTTATCAGTAAACCATTATGGAGGGTTGGATAACGATAGGGCTTATGCTCCCCAGATATTGTAAGAGAGATAAAACACTAAACAACCATTAATAAACAAGTAGAGAATAATAATAGTAATAATAACTTTATACATCTCACACTCCAGTGTCTGATTCCAAACTAGGCAGAGCTTGTACTTTGGAAACTAGAATAATAATGAACACACTTTTGTATATTTCTCAATACATACATATTATAGATAAATCAGAGATTACCTCATCGTGCTCATCACACACTTATTTGTCTTCGGAGGGAATCGAAGCCATGACCTCTGGCTTAAGACTTACTTACTACACCAACAACAGCCCACTCGAGAGTCGAAATTAACTTCTTTGAGGTTATCAAAGCCAAGTGAATTCAGATTTTCTTAAAAATATTGTCACTCAAGACGACTCACTCAATCATTTATATATTCATCTGATCATCATCATAAACAGTTTTTAGTAGTCCACTGCTGGGCATAGAAGGTTTTGGCCTGCTATACCACGCTGGCCAGAGGGGTTGGCAGGGTTTGTCTCAAGTTTTCCTTCTCTTTGCAATGCTGTTGTGCTGAGTAGTTTACTCCCTTAGTCAGCTCTTACGATACCCACGGGAGGAATAGGGGTAGTGAGACTCTGTATTCGTAATAAGTCACGGCAATTTACCTCATTACTTCTAATATCCTGTGGCTCAAAATTTAGCCACTGGTTTTAAACAAATTTAAAATGCCTACTTAATTGTAATTTTAAAAGTAATTACTACCTGGTTTAACAAGGAGATAGTCATTAATAAATCCGTTGATATCACAAGAAGTGATATTAAACTCGATGCCAACACCAGGCCCGTCAATTACCCAATCCATAGTTATACCCATCGGGTAAAAGTTGGGGTAATTTGGCGAAGTGATAACTGTAGGCTCATCTAAACTCAGAGTAACGTGTATGGGAGCGATGTTTCTCACTTGATTGTCAGAATCTTGAGAGTTTTCAAGTGCCACAGCAAATTTAGACATTAATTCGTTATATTCAGAGCTATTCAGTTCATCTACTTTCATGGTATTCTTATTTTCAACTTCTTCTGTTGTAACTGACTCTTCAGTTACAGCTCTATTTGGACTAGAAGCTTCAGCAGCAGTATCTGCTACTTCTTTGTCTGCCTCAGTAGTAGTTTTATTGTAAGCATCTGAAGATTTGTTTTCTATCGGTGTAGAGCTAGTGACTGTATCTTTAGAATTTACTGTAGAAGATGCAGTTAAAAATACTTCTGCGTCATCATTCTTGGGTAGATTCTCATCAACTAGACCATCATTACCATAGTAATGTTTCTTGATATCATCTTCGAATTCCTTATCTCCGCTGTCATCTAAAGACAGTTTAGCAATTTCATCTGAAAATTCATTATTGTCGGCATTAGATTTTTCATTATCAATTAAAAGAGACAGTACTTCTGCTTTTTCGACTTCAGCAGTTTTGTCTTTTGCTACATCTTCATCTAACTCAGTTTCATTAGATTTGTCAGCGTTTTCATTATTAGTTAGGTTACTGTTTAAAAAGTAATCATAATCGTCTCTAAGAGACATGATGTAACCCTCTCCATAAGGCCTTTTGAACTTCTCTTCATAATCTTGAATGTCGTCTATTTCCTCACTTTCATCACCTAAATCCTCATTCTCACCTAAATCAGAATCATTGTCACTTAGTTTATCAAGGGTTTGAAAAAGTTTATCTAAATCATCACTTAAGTCTTCCAATACTTTTTCTGGAGTGTCGTCATCATAATTTATTTTCGGCTCCTCTTCAATATTATTCTTATTGTCATCAACATTAGAATCAAACTCATTATTACCCTCTAAGTTTTTTTTAGTGTCCTCAATTATTTGATCCAAAAGGGGATCCACATTGCCTTCATTGACTGACTTAATATAAGAATCTTCTTTGTTGTCACTGTTTTCTTCATTTACTGCCTCCTGCACTTCTGATGATGCTACGTTTTCTTTAAGATCTGAAAAAGGGTCATCTTTATTCTTTGAAAGTTCATTAGACCATTCATCATACATGTCCTTGGCTTCATCATTTTCTTTTACATCTTCTATAGGTTGGAGAGGTCCGACGGGAGCATTCACTGGATTAAGTTTGGATGCATCATAGGGTTGTTTTTCAACGGGCACGTCACCATCATCATTTTCTTTGTTGTCAGCATTGGATCTGTTATCCTCAATCTGGTAGTCGCCCAAAGCATCAAATTCTTCACTACTGAAAGGTTTATTTTCCTCTTCATTGTTCCCTATGAAGTCTTGTATTTCAGCCTCTCCTTTTTTGTCTACGTCTTCTTTTTCTTCGATACTTTCTTTACTGTCATCTTTTAATACGTCAAAATAGTTGTCGTAATCGTCATCTTGCCAGTAATCTGGAAAGGCATTCTTCTCGTCTTGAGTGTCAACTGCTGTCACTGCAACAAATAAGTATTACTGTAAATAAACTCGAGGAAAAATTTACCAAATTAAATTGTTGAGTTTTTTTTAGTTATAGGAGGAGGGAAATTAGCAGACGGGTCACCTGATTTTGATGGAGACCAGTGTTTAAAGAACCAGTCTAATTTAAAATCTGTGAAATGACAGTGTAATGAGACAGTGAAATGTAAACTTGTGAAATGTGAAAACAAATGCATCTCAAGAATCATAAGCACCCTTTTAGTACCTCCCACCAGAATCAGGGGGAGGGAGAAGGTTTTGGGTGCCGATAACGTCACTAACTCGGTGGAAAGCAACCAGGAACAGCTTAACAATGGTTTTCCGTAAGTCTGTGGTATCGCTCCCATCGATCCTGGCCCATACGTGCTGATGCACGAATTGGAAAATTTCATGCGTCATGTATTTTTTAAATTGAGTACAAAGTATTTTCTTGAAGAATTAAGATATCGATTATCTGTATATATCCATTAGTAAACAATTTAGTTCGGTGTTAATAATAGGTGGTAATAATGAAACATTGACGTTCGAAACGTATCTTATCTTACATCTTAAGATAAAAGATTAGATTTATTATTTTGATAATCGTGTTGTTGGGATGTATTCCATTTAAATACCACAATACAATTGGTAGGATACCATTCTCTAATATTAATAACAAATGTACTTTATAAGAATTACTTAATGTGTAAGAGCTGTAATGTTATATAGAGTGGTGTGTGTTGTAGGAAAAACGGTCGTTACCAGCCACCACGCAGTCTTCGCCGACAATCTTTCTATTTATCTGTATTTATATAAAACTAGCTGATACCCGCGTTTGTTGTTATAACCGCGGGCAACGCCGCGGGGCGAAGCTAGTCTAAAAAAAGTAGCCTAAGTTACTCCTTATGTCATCAGCTATCTGCCAGTGAAAGTCCCGTCGAAATCGGTATAGCCGTTCCAGAGATTACCCGGAACAAACAGACAGACAGACAGACAAAAATTGTAAAAAATGTTATTTTGGCATATGTACCGTGTAAACACACATATGCATTTAGTAAAAAGCGGTTATTTTAATATTACAAACAGACACTCAAATTTTATTTATTGGTATAGATAAATAAACAACATCTCTGAAGTGGGATGTATATGGTGTCAAAATTTGAGCTCAATCGGTGCAAAAGTTTTTGAGTTTATAAGGCGTACATATATTTCGTTTTTGCAACAACACACAATGTACCACAGCGGGACGTGGCAGGGTACAGCTAGGAACTGGTAATAGGTAACTAGGTTATATAAATCTTTCGATATCTATAACATTTTAATAAATAAGAACACAATTTTTGGTGACCTTTTAATTCACAAAATTATCTATACTTTTTTAAACTCTTTTTTTATTAATTTTAACCGACTTTGTAAGAAAAGAAAAAGAAACGAATACATAACCGCCTTCGGTTGTCAATTCGGTTGTTTTCCTTTGTTCTGTAGTTTTCGTTACCTTTTTTTTTTTTTTTTTTTTTTTTTTTTTCCGTGCGGAAATCCCTTCGGATACCACCTGTCGGTGGCATGTCGGACTCGAACCGACTAAAACCGCACGCCTTCGCCGGGTACTAATAGCCGGGGAACCAGGTATACCCTAGAAAGGAAGGCCCTGGTGCCCCGACATACCTCGGGTCATCTACAGACGAGTAGACGACCCCCGCCCCGTGTGGGAACCCCATGTTCCCTGTGCTCCCTGGAAGCGAGCGCGCTTCGCAACGCGCTCGCCGCCACCCCGGCCTGCTTCTGCTAGGGTGACAGATGGAGTTTTCGTTACCTGGAATCTCCGTCAATTATAAACCGATTTCTTTTTTTATTTGAGAAAGTTATTAGGTTTACTTTGGTTTACCAGTTTAGTCAAAATTAGTAAAAAAATAAAAAAATTGAAGAACATGAAGGCATTAAGAATACAATGTGTATTCATCATGAGAATCGCCTAATATTTAAAAGACTAGTTGTCTTTAAATTTAATTTGGAAAACAGTATGGTTTATGTGTTCTAACATGTTCTAAGTGTAAATATCTCCTCTGAGAGGGAATCGAACACACGACCCTTGAGATTACAGCGGCATATACTATCGGGTTACATAGGTCATCACTGTTACATGAATTCCATAATTATCATTGCAATATGCGTTTTAATTAAACATAAGACATTATCAAGATGTCAACCTAAAATGCCAGACAGCCATATCACAGTTCATAATGTCACATACTTATCAGAGAAGTTGAGATAAACCCGGTGAGTAACAATTATTAGATACTAGCTGAGACCAGCGGTGTTACCCGCGTTTGTTGTTATAACCGTGGGCGACGCCGCGGGGCGAAGCTAGTCTAAAAAAAGTAGCCTAAGTTACTCCTTATGTCATCAGCTATCTGCCAGTGAAAGTCCCGTCGAAATCGGTCCAGCCGTTCCAGAGATTACCCGGAACAAACAGACAGACAGACAGAGAGACAAAAATTGTAAAAAATATTATTTTGGCATATGTACCGTGTAAACATACATATGCATTTAGTAAAAAGCGGTTATTTTAATATTACAGACACTCCAATTTTATTTATTTGTATAGATTATTAGGTATAAACACTAAAATAACTCAGTATTTATCAATTAATAAGAAACCATTGATAAATATCTGCATTATGCATGTATGATATTTAAACACGTTTCGACCAGGGCCTCAATTCTGCTATTTTATGTTCACGCCAAGCCAGTGTCATACCACTGACACGCTATTGAGATGCCATCGAGTGGCCATTGGTATCGGTATAAATATTGGTAGTCTACACTAACTCAGTGTCTTTACAGTGGCGATGGAATGGCAGTGGCTCATCAGTGGTGATATCAAAAAGATTGCCATATTTGGAAAAATAAATAAATCATTTCCTTATAATTTGAAAATATATTACGTTTTTTGAGGAAATGATTTATTTATTTTTATTATAATCACCACCTGATAGTAAGCAACTACCGCCGCCCATGGACACCTGCAACTCAAAAGTCACAAGTGCGTTGCTGCCCTTGGAGTCCCATTTGGGATTCTGTAACGTCATTCACTCAGTGAAAGGCAACGAAAGAATTGCTTAACACCGGTTTTCTGTGAGGCCGTGGTATCACTCCAGTCGAGCCGGCCCATTCGTGCCGAAGCATGGCTCTCCCAGGTAGTTAACGGCAAAGTTAATCAGTCCTAACCAGGCCAGTCTATGGATGGGTGACATTCTTAACTCATTGAGACCCCTCCGTACCTCGGAGAGTACGTTAAACGATGGGTCCCGCATGTCATACGAACATATTTGACAATGGTCACTAAGGAGCCCTAAAAAGTCGAAACACAACAGTCTATTTACAAAACTTCGATATCGCCTAGTACTTTGGTTGTAAAGATGTAATGGCAGTCGATCCACGAAAAAAATTGAAGGTTCAGCCGTGTCGCTAGTTTGGGAAAAAGCTCAGAGGATGATGAGATTAAACATGCATTCGGTATTAAGATCATTTTTTGTTTTTCAAAGGCAACTCCCGTATTAGGAATATATCCTGTGTCGCGGGGGACTTTACTAACATACATGAAACGGACACAAAGAACACCCAGACTCAGAACAACAATTTGTTGATCCCACTAAGTGTCGTCCCATGTGGGGTTTGAACCCACCACACTCGTGGCGGGAAGCGGCGTGCCGACCGCTTAAACCACTACGCCATCCGTGCAGTCGGTAAGATGATTTAGTGGTATGAAATAAGATTATTTTGCAGCAAGAAATTCAGTTGTACTAATATTGGAACACGCGATATCAAGCACGTATCTATGAACGCATAAGGTGCTTTGCTATTATCAGTGATAAGAGATGATAAAAATATTTTCTTTTGCTGTCTATAGATACTACTATAGTGCTTTATATTACCATTGAAATTATTGCTATTATTAAATCATAATTATTTGATGAAATTATTGGTTTTCGTCACAGCGATTTTACATGTGATTGTCATTTCGTCAAAGTCAAAGATAAATACCATTTAAATTCTATTTATCAAAGATTTCAAACTTTTTTTAGATTTAACCTTTCACGAGTATTGTTATAGCGTAATAATATAAATGACGACCGGTTGGCGTAGTGGTTTTTAACGGACTGCTATTTCAAAGGTCTCGGGTTCAATTCCCACTCAAGTCAAACATTTGTGTGCATTAACATTTAATGTTTTATTTGGTCTGGGTGTTTCTATGTATTATAAGTATATATTTATAAAAACATGTATAAATGTGGTTATATCAGTTGTCTAGTAGCTATAGTACAAGCCCTCCTTAGTTTGGGACTAGATGGCGACGTGTGAATGTGGTACAATATTATATTATAATTAATTATGTAGCAGTGGTTTTGTAAATCAGTCACAGGTGTGACTATATGATTTATAAATCATATGATTCATCAAATGTGATTTTGATTTTTTCCCTAATTTATACTATACTAGCTATTGCTAACGGCTTCACTCGCATGAATATTTCATATTTAGTGTTTCTAACTTGGAAAATGAACAATTTCCACACAACCTTTTGTCCCTTATTCTACCTCCTTAGGGTTGGGTACTTACAACATCAGCGGTCTAGGCTCTGCGTTGATGATTTAGTCAGTCAGTCAGTCAGTCAAAAAAAAAAAAAAAAAAGGGGCAAGGAATTTCTGTATGTAGCTGTCATCTACGACTTCGTACGCTTAAATGGTTACTTAAAACTCTTTACTAAATAAATTGTACATCATCATCAACAGCCTTTAACAGTCCACTGCTGGACATAGGCTTCTCCTTAGAAAGGAGGTACACTCAAGAGCAAGTATTCGGGTAGGACTGCAAAAATTACTTGTGAATATTGACTGTAAGGAGTAGACAGTACCCCTGACTTTAACCCGATCGAGCTTGCTTGGGACGAGCTCGGACGATACATTAGATAAAGAAACACTCTCTCTCCTCCATCATG